TGTTAGTCCAAAACGAGTTTTACGACAAGTCGGCGCTTTGCGACAATATGAGTAGGCAAGTTCCGGACAGAAAACCGATCTGTGGAGACTCTTCGTCAGAGATTTTTTTTTTTTTTTTTTTTTTTTTTTTGAGAACAGGCGAAAACTAATACGCGCGCGGATGTCATCCATAAAATTAAGTCGGTGTGGCCTTGGTAAAAAATACAATCTGAATAATGTGTAAATAGTTTGTATTTAGTGATAGCGATGTATAGTCATACAAGATTCTATTATACTCTTTGAATTTTTTTTCAATCATGTCAATTTATTTCTCTTTTGTTTTTATGTACCAATTTAATTTCTTGTTAGTCCAATTTGCTTAAACTTGCTAGTGATAGAACAATATGGAGGGCACAATTAGAACATACACTGGGGTTAATTTTAGCATATATTCACATTGCCAAGAAAGAATACATTCTATACTTAACCTTGTATATTTACTGGGTTTTAATTCAATGCATTTAGCCAAAATTATCCCCATTTAAGCAAATTGATGTTGATAGGGGTAGGGGACTTGGTTTTGTATGAAATAGACAGTAAATGGCATAGAGTTAACCAGCTATTTCAAAACAAAGATACAAAGTCATATCAATTTAATATCACCTTTTCTATAGTGAGTGGTTACCAGTCATATAGCTGATATTAAAATTCTATTTTGACTGTAGATGCCTACCAAAAAATTCTCTTTTGAACCATGGCTTAATCAAGAATGGAAATCTACGCCCTCCCAGTTGAAAAAAAAATAAAGTCTTGGGTCAGCTTCAATTGAAAATGTTTCCTTCAATTTGAAAGTCCATCACATGGATATGCAAATTTTTGAGAAAGTTAGTCATAAATAACTTGCCCATGTTGATTGCGTATAATCATGGTGCTATAGTTCCATGAAGCAGCATTTTTTGTTTGCGTGTCACTCTTAGAACAATATGAAAAAAAAATATCTGCTTGCCCTTCTTGGTAGTGCACATTTTTTGTCTTTTATTGACCAGGAGTAAAATTTACTGCAAAATGAATAAATTCTGAGTTGCATTTGACTTTAAGTGTTTATGCATACAAGATAACCAATTAGAACTTTTTTTTAGGTTACCAGGAATGACAAAGCACTCATTGTACACATATTACTGTTTTCAAAACTATAAATAAGAGATACAGAAACAAATATACATAAATTGTACTTTATTAAAATTAATCTGGCAGATATAGAGCTTTTTTTCCAATAAATTAAAATACTATATAACCTACTTGTGTTTTGTTTGAAGTCATTGAGACTGAGTCTCACAAAGAATATATGTGGGTGTTCCACTCATAGTCGTATGCCACTACACACACAACAAATAATGTTTCTCTGTATTCAGCTGTTTACTGGATAGATGTAAACACATTTCATATTGGTGAAATGATTATATCTAATTTGGCACAGCTTATAACAATGTAAATAAAACAAATTCATTTGCCAATGATGACACACGAGCTGAACAGAAGGTGAGACAATGGCTGGCTAAATGAACCAAGACAAATGAAGATGAGAGACATTGATGAACGTACAGCAGACAATATCACAGATTCTGAGTCTAGATAGTTGTGTTATATATAGTATGAAATTTTGATAAGATTTTGTATATACACTGGTTGAAACTAGTTTCTTAGGTATTCTCTAAATTACTGTATTAAGTGTTGAATCACCCAAAATGACCAACACTAGTAGCGTCTGTGTGTGTCAGTAACCTTTGGATCACACACTGCATATCCTGTGAGATGCATGCACATAGTGGCTGCTTCCAACATTTTGTTACATTATGATTCATTAAATATAATTCATTTGTAGAGACTTCAAAGCTTCAAGTGCCTGAGAAACAGAAGGCCTTTTCTTTGGATTTTCTTCAGTACACGTATGGAAGAGTTGTATAAGTGGTTGGTAATTAGGCTCCTTGAGTAATTTCTCTTCATCCGGTAAAGGTGGACGACTTCCCAAAGCTTCGTTGAATAAGTCTTCATTATAACTAGAATCTTGACTGTCGTCATTTGTGGAGTAATCTGTTAGAAAATGATAGATGACTACAATATATCAACTTCACAACAAAAGTATTATCTGAACTAATGTATTATTTCTACTTTGATGAGTAACTACAAAAAGGTTGATAAAATTATGTAAACTAGTGCAACTCTCATTTCAAAACAAGTAAAGTTTAATACACAATTCACTCATGATGCCATACATTTGGGTCTTAGTTCCCTAGAACTGATATACATAGAATATATAGATGTATTGGGCTGATAAACAATAGCAGAGCATTACATGTAACCCACCACTAGAGGGCAGTTTCCCCCCACACTTTTACAGTAGTACTGAAGTAGTATTATTCTTGACTTGAGATATTCAGTATAATTTGCCTCTTATGGAGTTTACTTACCTAGTAAATCAGTATGAGGTACTGAGAGTGTCATCATTTCCCAAATTATTAAACCATATGCATACATATCTGCCTTGTCAGTGATCTCATCACCATTAATGGCTTCTTTACACTTCCATGGTTCACTACCAATGTAAAAATCAGACTTCCTCTACAAATAAATTACATAAAAAATTACTGATTAATAATTTCACATCTTATTTCTACTTATGTTAAATCAAGAAATTTAATTGCCATGCAGGTGGAAATGATCTAACAGTGTTATTGCGCCCTCATGGGCTTTCACTTCCCTACACCTAACAATACAACAATAACGAGATAATGAAATTTGATTAATTGTCAGTCGATTATGAGTACACATAAGATTTTAAATGAATTCACAGTGAAAAGATATTTTAGTGATACATGTCATATTATGTTGTTTTCCTGTGGATATCAATTGAATAAAACCTGAATTATAAATCTGAATTGGGTTTTGAGAGTTAGTTTTACATACACTGCATTCCAATATAAAGGGCCTTCTAGAGAAAACAATTTTTAAGTAACAGTACAGTATTTGTGATTTTGAACATGCCCTACCGAAATCTTTTTGTAGACACAAATGAATGTGTAAAATGACTCTATACAAAGCATAAAATGTCACATAAAATGCAATGTAAAAACTACCTGGGTAGAGTAGTTGCAATTTTGTTGAAATCGATAATGTGATGGGGACCGTAGATGTGATAACCACGAGGCATATCGGTATGGGAAATGACAATAAAATTGTCAGAGAGCTTAGCCTCTCAAGATGAACGTGTACATTTGATAATAGACGTTTCGCCCAGGGCTTCCGGTAAGACATCGTCTTCCATCATAATCCTTCGCTAGGCAAGGCTGGATTTCAATGGTTGGTGCCCTTTGAAGAGGCTATGTAGTTTGAGACCCTACACGCAAGCCCAACAGCCATTTTTCACTTGCAAATGTTTTAATATATGATATATAACATATATGCTATACATTTCGTCGATGGCAAATGACTGTTACAACAGTAATAACACAAGAAATGTTTTATTGAAATTAAAAATCATGCAAAAATATTGAGTTACATCTATTGCCACTTTAAAAAAAAAAACTTAACAGATAGATGGCACAACTGTGTTTAATCTGAGGTAGTGTTTTGTTTAGTGATGAAAGCTAACCTTCAGACCAGATAGGTCATCTTTCAATGCAAGTGCAACACCAAAGTCACATATTTTGATGGACTCAAAATCCCCAGTTATAAGAACATTAGCACTTTTCAAATCACCATGCAACAGTTTCTTCTCATTGTGAAGGTAATTCAATCCCTCTGCAACTGATACAGCCACTTGGTAAATTTCTCTGGCAGCAAAAGCACCTGAATTGGAAAGAAAACATAATTCAACAAGTGCTTTTCATATATGATTTGCATATTAGAGGTTGTCATCATGTTTATGCAAATAACTAGATGAACATTCGTTAGGGCTGTACAGTACAAGCACAACATCGTATAAAGTTAGCCTGGGCTTGCTAACAAAACTACTACTGTCTAAAAAATCTCAGGATTTATGCTTCAAAGTTTAACAGACATCTATTTTCAAAACTATATTTGATAATAATAGTATGGGACAGAAAGGTTATTAAACATCGTTGGACACCAAGGCGATTGCCTTTGATGCTTTTGTAAAGTTCAAGCCTTGATTATATCATGAATGTGAGGAGTACAGTAATCTTCCAATGTTGTCACTTGAAATAACAGAGTGATAGTTAGCAAGAGAATGTGATGTTGGAATTCTGTAGCTATAAGTGGTATATGATATTTTTCATAGTATAAGAGAGGTTATTATACAGCGAAATTAATTTTATCATGTTCTGTCATAATTACCGTACCAAGTGACTAGTGGACTATTTGCTCAAGTTGAGTCCTGTGATGAAAAATTAGCACCACAAAAGGTGCCAATAAAATCTGAAGGGTTCAGTGCCCCTAACTTCTATGTTTTCCGATGTGAGAAATCAAGTTGCAAAATATTTAAGCCAGGTAAGTAACAAGATGAAAAGCACAAGATAAATGTACTTCTGATAGTTGATTATTAAATTAGGATGCCACCACAATGTACATCCAAACCATGCTAGTTTAACCATCATTTAGTGAGTCACTTACCATCTCCAAATTCCTCTCTCTCGTCAATTAAGTCTCGCAATGATTTCTCCCCATTTTCCATTGATAAACAGAAACTACCATCTGGCGTTTGACCAAGCCCACGAAATCCTACAATGTTAACATGATTCAGTTCCTATAGGGGAGAAATAAAAGAAAACATGGCTTCAATGATGTTTTCATGCATGTGTAGGGCACAGTCAGCTGGCGCACACGTGATAATAAAATAGATACGATATTTACTATATAGAGGCCGCCATCTTGAATGACGCATACAAATAAATAAGAGACAAGTTGTGAAACGCGTTTTTCAGATTCTTACAAATCAGGACAAAAATACCAATCTTTCACAAAAATACGGTCTGTTGGGGTTATATTAGGCCAACCGATAACAAAATTCGGCCTAATTCGTCGTTTTTGTGTGGAAAAATCCTTTGCATACGAACACCTATTTATGCGAAGAACCTTGAACACTAAGCCGGGGTATTTGAAACTGAAATTGTCATCCAATCATTAGGCCGTCGCTGATTGGCTGCTGAGCTGGAATGCCAATTTTTAGTTTCAAATACCCCCACAGGCACATTTTTAAACTAACGCACACTGCCACAATAAATATTAAATAATTGATGATGGGGTCTAATATATATTGTAATGGTAAATCGCTATCGAAATAACTACAGTTGTACACATATAATGTACCAAAGTCACCCAAAACTTTATTGAATCACAGTTACATTGTCATGGCAAAACAAATGAACACTTGCATGTAGGAGTAGAATGCAAGGATGCAGTACATACTTTCAATATGTTAGCTTCTTTCTTTAGTCTACATTCCATATCTCTACTTAGATGTTTTGTCTTTGAGTTCACCTTCTTGATTGCCCATGGTGATCTGTAACCGCTAGGTGCAGGACTTCTGTTGTGACAAAACAAGATGCAACATGCAGTTTTAAATATTAATCTAATTATAAGGTAAGAAAAAAATGTAGTTGGCACAAATATAATTGGAGCTGTCATCTAGGGACAAATTATATTTGGTGGAAGGTTTTGGTTCTGGATTGTAAATTAGAGGCATGTGTGTACCATTCTGTACATGTACATAATATTTCAAGAAACTGTGCAAAATATTATTGTACTGTGAAGTACTTTTTCACTTAAAATTTACTTTCGTTGAAAGGATGAATAAAGAAAATACCTATTTTTCTCTATATTTTACATTCAACTCATCAACACTCAGTGAAAATAAACTGCATACAAAAAAGCCAAAATGTATTTTCAGTGAAAATAAGCTAAAATAAGTATTTTTAAAATATTATTCTTCTGTTCTACGGAGTATGTCACTGACTAAAGGAGCACTTTGTTGCCATAGGTCGCTACTGTGACTCCATCCAGGGCACCTCAAGGCAGCGACGTGAACGCACATGATCTTGTACACACTAGACAGTTCATTCAAGTGCAATATTGCAGCAACTCCAGTCATGAACATGGTTCACCGTTCCACCTGAGATTAGGTTTAGGGATTTGGTTGACATACAGTATATCTACCTACCCCTTCACCATAAACCTTCAGTTAATAAATTTGCACTTGACTCCCACTTTGCAAATCTGTGAGGTACATGTACATGTACACTCCCCTGACAACTACTGTAACCTGTCCGACGTAGTGTCTAGAGTATTCAACTCAAAAAAAATTTGAAGCTGCTTAGTCAAGCACCACACAATTTTCATTCACCATGTGCCTGATTAGAGGATGAAATTGTGAAATGAGTTGTGTCGTCATTGATTTCCACAACAATTTTCCAAATGTAATGACACTCAAGAAAAATTATCACAAAAAATATGCACATTTAAATTAATTAAATAAGTTATTTTCTGTTCACTGCAAAATCTTGCAGATCAGGGGAAAGAGGCAGACCGAACATCTGCCAGTGTCCACCTCTTTTAGCTATTCTCAAGAGCGAAGCTACGTCACAAAATGTTCTATGTTCTTCGGACGTGTACCACTGTACCATGTATTTCTATGGGCTCTGTGCAAGCTGCTATGGAACTTTGATCGAAGAGAAAGTTTAGAAAGCAGCACAAACTCAACTTTGAAGCAATCCAAATTTATAATCTTAGTTAATCTTGTTACACTGTTCAGGACAGTCTCAACAACTATAGCCCAAAGTACGATTTTCTGTCAGCTTTTGTTTTCACTGGTGATGAAATCACTAGTGATGTTCAAGCATTCATTGTACATGCACGTTAAGAATACAAGAATATTCAAATTCACCTGTGGCAGAGACTGATTCAGCAGGGTCAGTTGATGTTTGGAAAATACAGTGATAGTTTCCAGACTGTAAAAATATGCTGGATGCCAGCCCATATAAATAGCAGCTAGGATGGTTTGTTTTGAATGGGCAGCAGACCATCAAATGTAAATAATCTTAACTGTGACAATGAAATGGATCCAGGGCTAGGAGAATTTTAATGCATACATGTATTTTTGATCCTAACATAAACTTTTTATTTGAGCAGCTGAAACAAATATTCAATATCAATAAAATAAACTCATTTTTGATTTTTATACCAAAGTAACAAGAAGTGTGACTTTTAGGGATCATGCAAGTGATATATTGAATTTCGCAGGGCTTGGAAATAAGGTGTGAATAATTTGAAATGTTTAAAAGAAGGAAAGTGCCCACACACAAACAAATATTGAGGTTATTATTTTCATATATTGTGAATGGCTGGCTTACCGTTCATACAAATAAACCATTACACCAGTACCATATCCCAACTTTTTCATAAACGGCGACGCTGGAATAGATAGTTGCGAAGATCTACCAGAAACACGTCTGTATTTAGATGGCTGTGTTGGGGTAGCGAAGTTATGAGGCGAAAGAGGACTTCTTATATCCATCTTCACAAATTATATTGTTGTTCTACTTTCAAAATTACCGCTTCAATGTGAGACTGCGCATACTCCCGGCGCAATGGTTGCTGGGTAATGTAAATTGAAACTATTTTTTCTTATTATTTTTACTTCGTTATATATTACTACAGTAGTTGGCAAATGTAAACTTTATAATCAGTGAATATTGCGTAACATTCGCAATTTTTCAACGAAATAGCTATTCGCCAGATGCATGCAGAAAAATGTTATTGGATGAAAGGTCATTAATAATGTGAACGAATACAACCGAACTCGGCCAGATTTCAACTCGGCCAAGAAAAAAATGCACAACTCGGCCAGTTGTGAATGTCGAGGTGTAAACTGGTCATTGGTCATTCAA